GGGCCTGCTGTGCTGGGGTGCACTGAGCCAGCAATTGAGACTGGGCATGGTGGCACAGGGGCCTGTAATCCCAGCTCTTGGGAGGCTATAAACAGGCGGATCACTCCCAACGATCTAGTAGTATGACCCTGAAGACCCGGTAAACCCTTCCCTAAAAGCACACACAAAAAAGACTAATTTCCAAGCCAGGTGCAATGGCCCACACTTGTAGTCTTAGTTGCTTGGGAGGCTAAAGTAGGAGGATCACAAGTTCAAAGCCAACCTGGGCAACAGTACAATGACTCATCACCAAAACTACTTGGTGAAATTCTTGGGCTTTTGTGGGAGGGTGTCTGAATTTGAACTCAGCACCTTACGATTGCCAGACAGGCACCACTCCGCTGCCTGTTTTCCCAACCCTTACTTGCTGAAGTTCTGTTGTGGACACAGTAACATCTCCATACAGTTTGGCAGTGTGGGGTTCCCTTTATCAGCTGACATTGCCCAGCTATGACCCAAGTGGGAACATCAGCTACAAAATTAAGGCGTTGGGGTTCTTCTCTTTTGTTTTTGTTTTTATGCTTTTTGGGTCGTGATGGTGCTGGGGTTATAAATGCTGGCGTTGTGCATGCTAAACAAGCACTATATCACTAAGCTATACCTACAGCCCAAGAAATCTGTGTGGGTTTGGTTTTTTTTTTGTTTTGTTTTGTTTTTTTGGTATTTTAGGGGAGGGTCTACAGGGTGTTCAGGGTCTCACTACTAGATCGGACCTAGAGTGATCTGCCTGTTTATAGCCTCCCAAGAGCTGAGATTACAGGCACCCAGTCTCAGTTGTGTCTCAGCGTGCCCTGGGGACGGAGCCAGCACTGCAGGCCCAGGGATCGAACCCTGGGCCCCTGCAAATGCTTACAGGTGCTTCAATCCACTGAGCTGTTTGGCCAGCCCTGAAATCTGTGTCTGTGGTACTGGGGATTGAATCCAAGACTTCACACTGTCCAGCCTTATTTGCTTATTTAATTTTTGATAGTCTTGCTAAGTTGCCCTAGCTGGGCTGTAATTTGCAGTCCTCCTATTTCAGCCTCTCAGAGTGCTGGAATAACAGGTGTGTGTGCCACCACACACAGCTAAGAATTTTTGATGTTTGGTTTTAATTTTGGAGTAATTACATTATTTAACAGTTTGCCCCTAAAGCTTAACTTTATTATTATATTTGTTCTTGACATTTTTCAAACTTAACATAAATGTTAGAAGCATTTTATACATAGGCTTTTGTAGCCTGTGTATACAGTATTTCCTTAGTTTCCAGTGAGTAGATAACTAGGAGCCCATATTTGGACTAAGCCTGCCCCAGTTTGTTGATTGCAGAGAAGAGCGAGGGTTGTAGTAGTCTTTGGAAAGAGTGCTTACTAGGCCCAGCACCCAGGATTTCTTCTCTCTTTTCACAGGCTCGCCTTTACAGCCTCCAGTCAGACCCAGCAACCTACTGCAATGAACCTGATGGTGAGGGGGTCACAGTGGGAGTGGGCTTGTGGGGAGATTGACTAAGCAGACATGGGGGTGCGCCCTCTTTGTCTCAGGTAGCAGAGGCCAAAGTCCCCCTCTGGAGATGGACTAGCGTAAGATTGGTGTATGCTTTATGTTGTCTACAATGGATTGATGGTCATTTTTCCTCCCTGAACCCTAGCTGGCTTCACCCTAGCTATTATCTACAGAGATTCTGTTTCTCTGGTCCCATAGCCTCTCTGCTTAGTCTCCTTCCTGGCCGTCTGCCCTGCCTGCTTTCCTGTCGTCACCCCATGTTCACTCGGCCTCTGCCACACACCAAGTTCCTTGCCAGAACTAAAGACCAGACATGAATCAAGCCCTCCATCTGCCCCCTGCCCCCTGCAGCATGAGACCGCTAGGAGGGAACCAGCAAAGAGGCAATAAAGCAGAAATAATAGAGCATTGGGTGACTGCTTCTGCTAAAAGGCAGAGAAGCAGTACCTTACCCAGCCGGAGGAGCCCGGAAGGGACACTTGAAGTGAGTTTTTAAGGATGAATTAGAGCCAGGTGAGGTTGTGCACACCTGTGATCGCAACACTGGGAGGCTGAGGTAGGAGGATAACTGCAAGTTTTAGGTCAGCCCAACTCACTTTAGGCTACAAAATGAGTTCAAGGACAACCTATATTACATAATGAGACCTGTCTCAAAAAAGGGGCCAGGGAGATGGCTCAGTGGAATAAGCGCTTCCCTGGCAAGTGCAAGGGCCTGAGTTCAATCCCTAGTTCCATAAAATGAATTAGAAGTGAATTATTTGGGGTGGGGAGATAGCTCAGTAGAATAAGCGCTTGCCTGGCAAGGGCAAGGCCCTGAGTTCAATCCCCAGTACTGAAATAAAATAAAATTTTAAAAAATGTAGTTAAGTGAATTAGTTTTACTTTAGAAGTACAGAAGACCAGGGGCTGGTGAGATGGCTCAATGGTCTAAAGCACCTACTTAGAACAAGCTTAGTAAAGCACAGGAACTGCGGTTCAATCCCCCAGCACCACATGCCAGCCAGCCCCGCCCCCTGGTGGCCTGAGCTGGCCACACACACACATAAATAAATAAAATTTTTACAAAAGAAAGAAGAAGTACAGAAGACCAAGAAAAAGCACTACCGTAATTGGAAGTCCAAAAAGAACAGGAGCCCTAGATTTTTGGTGACGCTGAGTTACAGAGTGTGTGTGTGAAGAATGAAGGCAGCCAATGCACTGCTGCTTGATGTGGCTTTGTGTGCCAGACTCAGCACTGAATTTCATCCTAAAAAGCTCACAGTAGTGATTCAGGATCCTCTTTTTAGTAACAAAAGCCTTTACAAATCTGTTGAAAATGACAGGCTTCCTCTCCCACAAAACATGTGTAGTATGGGATTCTTTGACCCTTGAAAGATAGAGTGAATCTAGCTTATAAACTTCCATAGCTGGGCATGGTGGCACATGCCTATAATCGCAGCACCACAGGGCTGGCCAGATAGCTCAGCAGATTAAAGCACCTGCTTAGGCAGACACTGGGACGGGGTTTGATCCCTGGCATGCCTGGTGCCGCCCCCAGGGCACACTAGCGATTGAGACTGAGCATGGTGGCACGCGCCCATAATCCCAGCACTTGGGAGGCTGAAAACAGGAGAATCACTGAGTCTGATCTGTGTAGTGAGACTCTGTAGACCCTGTACTAAATACATAAAAAAAAAGTAAAGAAATAAATAAAATCTCAGCATCAGAGGCTGAGACGGAAGGATTCAAGGCCAGCCTGAGCTACATAATGAGACCATCTCGTACAAAAACGGGCTGGGGAGATGGCTCAGTAAAATAAGTGCTTCCCTGGTAAGTGCAAGGGCCTGAGTTCAATCGCCGGTTCTGCAAAAACAAATGGAAAGCCCTCCCATAGAGAACTGTTGAAGGGTTTTGAGGCCTGACATTGTCAGATTTTGAATTTTATAAAGCAGCCCTTGTAATAGTATGACGGATGAGGAAAAGAGACCAATTCAGGGTCTTGGGAGGCATCCCCAGGTCAAGGGTAAGGCCAGAGCCTAGGATGAGAGGCAGGTCAAAGGAAGAGGATGGAATGCCAAGAAACCCTGAGGAAGCAGAATGAGAGTAAGGGGAGCCAGGCAGCGCTTGGGAAGCTGAGGCCAGGACCAAGACCAGTCTGAGCGCCATAGTAAAACATGTCTCAAAAAACAGTGAGTAGATAAGGGAGAAGTCTAGGATGGCCCCTAGTTTCCAGTGAATAACTGTGGGAATTAAAATGACCACAAGTTGTATTTGAATCTATTCCTGCAGCCCTAAAAGGTAGTCTGAGTTGCAGAGAGAGACCTGGGAAAGGCCTGTGGGAGGATGAGCTTAAAACATGTGACTTAATGTGGTTAAAATGGAACCTGGGGCCAGGGAGATGGCTCAGTAGAATAAGCACTTGCCTGGCAAGCGCAAGGGCCTGAGTTCAATCCCCGGTTCCACCAAAAAAAAATAAAATAAAATAGATCTGAAATTTAAAAAAAAAAAAAAAGGAACCTAAGGAGAGATTAGAAAGGGAAAGGACCGGCAAGATAGCTCAGTGGACTAAGGACCTGCTTAGGCAAGTGCAGGGACCAGGGTTTGATCCCTGGCACCACATGCTGTGCCCTCAAGTCCAGGCCTGGTGGTGCATGCATGTAATCCCAGCCCTGGGGAGACTGAAAACAGGAGGATCCTGAGTCCGAGCTGCATAGTGAGACCCTATAGGCCCTGTACTGAATACATTTAAAAAAAAAAAAGGAAAAGGAAAAGGAAACTAGCAGCCCACATAGACTCTGGAACAGTCAGAGAAGTGAGGGGGGGAGTGGGGAGAACAGAGGGAAGTGGGCATCCAGAGAAAGGAGTGGGTCCCAGTAAGAAATGGTAGCAGAGTCACATGAGGGTGGGCAAAGCTACTGCCATTGGTGATCTGAGAGTACCTGTTGGTAGGGTGAGGTCTCCAGCCAGGTGCAGTGGGCTAAACTGCCAGCGTGGTATGAAGAGATGGAGATGACAGTCCTGTGTGGAGTTCCCAGTCGGGCCGTGCATCCCTTCACCCTACCTGACCTCCCCACTGTGGACCAAGTGACTTGGAAAAATTCGTCTGCTTTCCAGGCTCAAGTACATTCTGTAGGTTCATCCTTCTTCCCCAGACTAGGGAACTGACCATCAGCATCTGTCCCTCTGCAGGGCCCCCGGAATTGTTTGACGCCTGGCTTTCCGAGTTCTGCTTAGAGGAGAAGAAGGGAGAGATCTCAGAGCTCCTTGTAGGCAGTCCCTCCATCCGGGCCCTCTACACCAAAATGGTGAGCGCCCCACTGGTAGGACTTTGGCCGGCTCCAGGCTTGAAGTATCAGGAGGTGGGCGGGACATGTACAGTGAGAGACCTTTTAGAGGCAAACCAGCCATTTCCTGAGCCAAGAGTCAGCATGGAAGATGCCAGGCTTCTGGCATTCAGAGAGTGGTGAGAAATGAAAGGGCCAGCAAAGCTTAATGGAAGTTCTTTTCTTCCTTCTCAGCCAAGGTAGGTATGGTTAAAACTGAGATGGGGGTAGAATGGCTCTAACAGACATTACAAAGCTACTTCCTGTGTCTGAAATCCAGAATGGCTAGGAGACTGACAAGACTGGGGACACAGGGCCGGGGAGATGGCTTAGTGGAATAAGTGCTTCCCTGGCAAGTAAAAGGGACTGAGTTTAATCCCCGGTTCTGCAAAGAAAGAAAAAAAAAAACTGGGGCCACAGACTGTGAACAATAGTCCCAAATTCTCACCTCCACTTTTCCCTCCAGGTTCCAGCAGCTGTTTCCCATTCAGAATTCTGGCATCGGTATTTCTATAAAGTCCATCAGCTAGAGCAGGTATGGTGATTGACCCAGCCCAGAGAGGTCTCTGCTCTGACCTGGTTGAAACAGAGTGGACCCACACCCCTGTAGTGGGGATTGACCCCAGGGCCTTTGCAGACATGGTTCTCTTAGTTATTAAACTACTTGGGGTGGGCATGAACTTGCTGTACTGCTGCCTCAGTCTCCCAAGTGCTGGAGTTGTACCCATGCACCAACGTGCCTGCCTGGCAGACAAAAGAGGGAGACAGGGTGTCAAGAATTCAGAGACCAGGACCAGGGCATGGAAAAAAGTGTACTGACTTGTCCTTCATTGCACTCCCACCCTCAGGAGCAAGCCCGGAGAGATGCTCTGAAGCAACGGGCAGAAAAGAGCCTCTCTGAAGAGCCTGGCTGGGAGGAAGAAGGTAAGAAGTGTCAGAAAGTGATGCAAGTCAGGCCTATCTGTGGGGTTCTCGGAGGCCTAGAGCGCTTTCTGCCTAGCAAACAATATATGATAAGCAGGGCCAGGGAGATGGCTCAGTGGAGTAAGTGCTTCCCTGGCAAGCACAAGGGCCTGAGTTCAATCCCCAGTTCTGCCCAAAAAGGGGTGTGTGTGTATGTGATGAACAAGTGTGATTATTGGGCCTAGGCAGTGCTAACAAGATACCAAGTGGAACAAGGCTGGTGGAACCTCAGAGTTAGGTACAAAAATCAGATACGTCCACTGCAATAGATCTTTCTGCCAGCAGTGGACCAGCAGCTTCATGCTCACTGGACAGCATATTGAGAATCCAGATTCCCTTCCCCACCTCTAAATAAGACTCTAGGAATGGCCAAACGTAACAAGCCCACTACTAATGCTGATGCCCCACCAGGTTGAAAATTCCTGGTTTATGGGCTAGGGAAATGCCTCAGTGGAATAAGCGCTTCCCTGGCAGGTGCAAGGGCCTAAGTTCAATCCCCGGTTCTGCAAAAAAAAAAGAAAAGAAAAAAGAAAATTCCTGGTTTGGGATTGGAACTGAGCTCCTCTACCTGTCTATTCAACTTAGAGACTTAGAGCACCATGTTGCAGCCACTCCAATGATGTAAATAAAATTTTATTGGGGGCCGGGAAGGTGGCTCAGTGGAATAAGCACTTCCCTGGCAAGTGCAAGGGCCTGAGTTCAATCCCCAGTTCCACAAAAAAATAAAATAAAATTTTATTAAGGCTTGTACTGTGTGCCTGGGCTACACTGAGCACTTTAACTATGTAGTCCTTACCATACTTCCATTATCCATCCTTCTGTTATAAACAAGGCAGGTAGGTTCAAAGTGAAATGGCTTGTTTAGCCATATTCCTAGGATGTATTAGATTTTGAGCTGAACCCAAAACTGATCCACTTTCAAACTGCAGCTGTCTAATCTCCTATCACCTTGGGCACCAGGGACCTGATGAGCAGGCAGTGTCTGCAGAAGTACCATGATGAGCAGGATTGAGGGATGCAAGCGCCAAAGTTGTCTTGGGGTTGGCTAGGATGCACTGCTCTCTTTCCCCAACATTTCTCTCTCTACAGAGGAATTTGTGGGTATTCCACCCACATCTCCGAAAGAAGCAAAGGTTCCTGTGACCAAAACTTGCACATCACCTGAGGGAGGACCCAGTCCACAGAGCCCCTGTGAAGAGACTCCAGTGCTCCCGATTGATCCTCCAGCAGAAGTGACTCCTTCAGAGAGCAGTGAAAGCATCTCTCTCGTGACACAGATTGCCAACCTTGCCACAGTACCTGAGGCGCCAGTGCTACCCAAAGACCTGTCTCAAAAGCTACTGGAGGCATCGTTGGAGGAACAGGGCCTGGCTGTGGATGAAGGCGAGACTGGACCTCCACCTCCAGTTTCCTCCAAGTCCCTAAGCCCTGCTGGCCGCCCTAGTGGCCCAGAGCCCAGGCCTCCAGCCAGAGTAGAGACTCTGAGGGAGGAGGTGCCCACAGACTTACGGGTGTTTGAGCTGAACTCGGACAGTGGGAAGTCCACACCCTCCAACAATGGCAAGAAAGGTAGGTCTGCAGCTGCAGTGCCAAAGGGTTGTGTGGGCAAGAGGCTCACTGCTGTGCACTTGAAACTGGCCTTGAACTCACTTTGTAGCACAGGCATATTTCATCAAGTCTAACATGTACATATTCTCTGAAAGAATGCATCTTAAAATTGCTGGGATGGGGCCAGGGAGATGGCTCAGTGGAATAAGTGCTTCCCGGGCAAGCAGAAGGGCCTGAGTTCAATCCCTGGTTCCACCAAAAAAAAAAAAAAATTGCTGGGATCTCAGAGTCAATGAAATCACACTTATATAGGGTTCCATGTTGAATGATACATGGCATTTGTCCTCGTTTTACAGATGAAGAAAATTTAGCACTGAAATGTTAAATAACTTGCTCAAACCAACATGGCCACGAAGTGTCAAGCCCCGATTCAGACCCACATATGTCTTTCAGGCTGTGTCTTTAACTGTGACACTACTGATTTCTGTCCTCTTGAGCAGTCCGGCCTTGTCCTTACTAGGGATCCCTGTAATGTTAATGTCAAGGGCCAAAAGTCATGCTTCCCTAACCCTTCATTATTATTGTGACATAAACACAGTGCCAGGCACACACACCTATAATCCCAGCACTTGGGAGGCTGAGGCAGGAGGATCGTTGCAAGTTTGAAGCCAAACTGAACTTTATGGTAAAAAAAAATCCACTGAACATGGTAATACCCTGTCTCAAAAAGAAGAAAGACATACATAAAACTTAGTTTAAAGAAAAATGAAATGAGCTGAGGAGATAATTCAGTAGAATAAGTGCTTTCCTGGCAAGTGCAAGGGCCTGAGTTCAATCCCCGGTTGCGAAAAAGAAAGAAAAAGAAAAGAAATGAATGCCCATGAATTTAAGATTATACAGCTTCAATAATAGAGGTTCAGTGTCCATCTGTAAATGGAGTTTTAGACTGGAGACTGGATTTATGTCAGAGAGCAAATTTAACTCCAGGAATTAAAGAACAGGTCTATTTTTTTTTTTTTTTTCTTTTTCTTTCTTTTTTTTTTTTTTTTTTTTTTTTTTTTGGAGAGCCAGGGATTGAACTCAGACCCTTGCGCTTGCCAGGCAAGCGCTTATTCTACTGACCCAGCTCCCCAGCCGATAGGCCTGGTATTAATTAGCCTTCTTTTCACTTCCCAGATACCTCTCCAGAGCTTGATAATTGTTAGTAAGACCACCCCTCATCCCTTACACACATGCATGCTGCCATTGTTAATACTTAGTACCAGTCACAGCCACAAAGCTGGTCCAGCAGCTGAGGCCTGGCCTGCTGGACAGTGAGTGGCTGTTCCCTTCAGTGGATAGGAAACAGCCCCACCTAGGCCTCTGAAGCCCCAGTTGGCAGGAGGAAGGACATCAGGCTTTCTAGTCTCCCCTCAAAGTGCTTTCTTTCTGCCTGATTCAGTGAGGTCATCCAGTGAACTGCTTCTGCTGATGGTGACACACCATGAGTTAGGGGCAGGAGCTTAGGTCTTTGTGATGAAGCCTGAAGGCAACATGGCACAGCACTGCCCAGGAGAAATTAAAAGAGGGTGGAACCTCAGCACCAGCATGTGCTGCACCAAGGAAGTGGGCATATAGGAGAGCTGGAGGGGTTGGGGCAGGTTGGGGAGTGGCAGTTCATGTTGATGGAGCACATCTAAGGGGCAGTGACAGGCCGGGGAGATAGCTCAGTAGAATAAGTGCCTGCCTGGCAAGCACAGAGTGCTGAGTTCAGTCCCCAGTACTGAAAAAAAATAAGGGGCAGTGACTAAAGCCTCTTTTGCTGTATTGCTCCCATGAGAGGCAGATACAAAAGGGTGGACAAAGCCAGGCGTGGTGGCACACTTATAATCCCAGCACATGGGAGGCTGAGGCCAGGAGGACTGCCACAAGTTCAAGGCCAATCTGAACTACATGGTGAGACTCAAAAAACAAAAGCAAATACCAACAGTGGGTGGATTTGCTCAAAAGTGCCTAAGAACTTTACACCTTCAGTAGAATCAAAGGTTGGATGTAGGGCCATTTAAACAGCAGAGCACAGGAGGCAAGAGCAGGCTCTGAGTTACAGTTCTGGGTGCAAATTCCAACTTTGCTCATAAGCCGTGTGACTTCAGAAAAGTTTCTGATCATAGCCTCTGCTTACTCCTCTATAACTGTCCCATGTAGGGTCTCAGGGAAGAAGTTGGAGTAGAGTCCTTATAATTTTGGAGAAATTATAAGACAGAACATGGGGCTGGAGAGATGGCTCAGTAGTCTAAAGCACCTACTTAGAACAAGCTTAGCAAAGCACAGGGACCACGGTTCAATCCCCCAGCATCACATGCCAGCCAGCCACGCCCTCTGGTGGGCTGAGCTGGCCACACACACTAAATAAATAAACGTTTTTTTAAAAATTAAAAAAAAAAAAATCCTTTGAACATTTTCTGTGTCTAGATCTGTGCATATATCTCAGTCCTCACAAAAACCTTAAGACATCTGTGTTGATGTCTCCTTTTTTCTACTGATCAGAAACAGATCAGTCACCCACCCAGTAAGTGTTTATATAGTCCTGAAGAAGGGCAGAAGAGTAGGTGGCTGTCCTGGCAGGTGTGTGGGGTTTCTGGATGCACGGTACCAGGGACCACTTGAGCTGGTCCTGGATTGTAAGACCGGTCAGTCCTGTTGCACTGTGGTCTCTCCATGTTAAGTTGCTCAGGGGCAGGCTCAGAGCAGATGGCATGGATCTAACTAGAGTTCAAGGTTAGCCGGTAACATCATTAGAAGAAAAGGAGAAAATCTAAGGATATGCCAGAAATAATGAAAGTGGTGGCTCACAGAAACTTAGCTGAGAATGAGAAATGAAGCGAGAGAGGTTAAAAATTACAAGTGCTAGGGGCCGGGGAGGTGGCTCAGTAGAATAAGTGGCTCCCTGGCCAGCACAAGGGCCTGAGCTCAATCCCCGGTTCTGCCAAAAAAAGTTACGAGTTCCATTCGGAGCTATTTGGGCTGCAAAGAGTGATCAGCTGCAGTTGAATCCTGGAGGAAGGAGAGATGATGAGGGAGGCGCAGAGAACGCTCTAGCCGCTCTGCTGTGCTGCCGCTGCCACTCGGGCATGCGAGAGGAGGGGCAGCAGTGCCGCAGAAGACTGCAGCACTAAGCTCTTAGATGGGGTTAGCCTGAAACGGTGAGGATGTGATAGAAGAGTAGCTCTGTGTGTGTGTGTGTGTGTGTG